CGTGCACCGCATTCCACGCACACTAGCGCAAAACATACACACATGTGCAATAACGCACACTAGCATCTGCATACTCGCCGCCCAGCACCCGACCCACCTATACCCCTAGCTACATGTACTTTACGCACTTCTCTACTGAATTCCTCGGAGACCTGAAAAGGAATTTCACAAGGGCGTCTTTTCTTTTCAAAGCAAACCTTTGGTTGTAAAACCCGAGCTCTTAGTTTAGAGTATGGGAGTTGGTTTTTCCTTTGTAGTTTGCATCCCGTGGAATGATGAGGTCATAAAGTTGCTCTTTGCGTGTTTAGTCAGGCTTTTGTCCTTTATTTTGGATGAACGAAGACATTCGATTATGGTCTATCTATGTGGTCTTCTTTTTCACCAATATTTTTTAAAATTACACTGTTGTTTTTTTTTTAATTATGAAAGGTAGACAAATGTGTAATATATAACGTATTACAAAAACTTGCTTGAAATAGGATGGTTTGTGAATTATGTTACTAACTCTAGTGAAATTTTGTTTGTAGTTATTTTGTATTTTATTTAAAACTTAGTTTTGATATTATCTTTTAATGTTAACCTACAAATAACATTTCAGATTGGTTTCCGACAGCACACTCTCTCGGCACGTTTTGTCAATGTCAGTTTTGCCTGATAAGTAAATCGAAAAAAGGCAAAAAAAAAATCGATACAGGAGCCGAATAAGAGGCACGAAGGTCACGGCCCCATCGATCCGACGTAGAAAGTGAGACTGGTGCCACTACTAACACCGTCCCGCTGGCTATGCAGCCTGAATTAATCGTGCATACATTTGAATACATTTCAAGCGGCGTGGTTGGGCCGTGTCGTCGCCCCCTTAAGTTTTAGCGATTTTGTTGCGGGCCACCGCGCGCTCCTGTTTACTAAATCTTTTCTGATGTGGAGTGGTCTCGTCTCTTGGGTTTGCGGAATGTAGACGACGCTTGCTTGCTTTTTGTATTAGTTTCACGTATGTATGTCTAGGTTCAGTCTACATTGCGTGTCAGATATCTATAGAAACAATTGTTTTTCATTTCAATGTAGTAATGAATGATTTTTTTGGGATTTGGATTGACACATTTAATGTTAACGCTATCAGTTTAGATATAGCATCACGCCTATAATCTCTGAGGGCGTAAGCAGAGTCCAAAGAGCATCGAACTATTCGGATCACGTTTAGGTAAAAAGTATGGGATGATATCGTCTACATAACCACAAACCTTATATCCCGTCAGTAACATCATAACTCATTTGACTCATTCTTTTTGTTATTAAGTCCCACATTTTTTTATAGAATAAAATCAACGAGCACACAGTCCACAAGTGAATGCTGTGGTCCATAGACATCGACATTTCTCCTCGACTAAAAATCAAAATACAGATGTGTTGTCATCACTGAGGACTAAGATGAAGTGCCTCATTTCCAGTAAAAAGGGTCTCCGGTTCTCTACACTCACCAAGCGAAACACAGCAGCATTAAACTGCTATTTTACGCTGTTATTCTGTGGGAGCGTGGTCCTATTCCGGCCGAGTCGACCCATTTGTGCCACAACTATAATATAGCTGCAGCATGACTCTATCACGTATAAATATGAGAACCAAACCACCATGGGTTATTTTATTCTATGCTAATGAGTGTTTATGCTTTAATTTTTCATCATTGTAACAAGCAAGTTCCACGGTTTCCAAACTTTGTAGAAACTCTTTTGTGGGACGCTACGTGCGTAGACATTAAGACGTGAGTGATGTTAGATTTTTCTCTTTTAAAAAAAGATTACGTACACTCTAGGAGTTTCTTCTGTATCGTGGGGGTAGTTTACGTACATAAATTTCATAAGAACAAACATCCAGACCCAGAAAAATGATTAGTAGTCCATACAAATACTTCTTTCGTGCAGGATTCGAACCCGCGGCTCTTAGTGTTACAACTCTTTGCTAAGCCACTGCGCCACGGAGCCGTCGAACGGCCGCCGTCGCAGATCTCTGTCACAGTAAATATATTATTTATACTGTGTCTCTGTGATGACTATGTGTTTGTGCCACTTGCTTTAGGGAGTAACGGTTGGGGAAGTTTCTAAAGGAACAGTATTCAAGACTGATCGTCACCTTTGCTGATAAAAGGACTGGTCCATTTTTACATCAGAGTATAGTCATTCAACAAGGCGCAGCAAGCTTGTTAAGTTTAAGCTTTTTGATTATGTATTTTTGTATAGAATAAGGGTGAAAAACGAGCACACAGTCCACTTGATGGTAAATGGATGCTGTGGTCCATAGAAATATACATTTATCCTTTATTCGGAATATAAAAAGCATTGCCACCCCGTAACCAGTAACGTTGTTGATGGACTAAGATGGAAAGCCTCGTTTCCTGTAAAAAAATATATCCGGTTCTCCACACTCCAGACCTGTCGGCACGAATGACTAATTGAAATTTTAAGTGCTGATTTACCTCACGGCGGTGAAGAACTGAATGACTGAAACCTGAATGAATGAGGAATAAAATACTCCAAGGACATGTGACTCCCAATGCAGCAGTGCCATTGAAAAACTTTTTTATAAAACTGTAGTAGCAAGAGAACTAAAAGGCCGGCAACGAACCTGCAATGCGCCTGTTGTTGCGGTTGTTCATGGGCGGCGGTAGTCATTTATCATCAGGTGAGCCGCATGCTTGTTTGCCCCCCTACTATATAAAAAGAACAGCTCGCATGATGGGTGGCAACTACAGCTTATGGACACCTGCAAGTCTACAGATGTGTTGTCACCACTGAGGACTAAGATGAAGTACTTTCTTTTTACATGGCGTAACGCCTAGGCATACCCGCATCGCGGGGGCAAGGACGGGTTATGTCGGATACGCACCAATTAAACCCCGTGGTGTTCCACTTTCAGTTGGTGGCAGAGCCACACATCCGCGGCAAGCATTCCATCTTAGTCGGAAGCGGTGACAACGTATCTACATTTGAACGTGAAAGATACGATCGAGGTGTGTCAGGTTAGAGCCAAATAGAATTCCGTAGTCTCTGCCTAACCTTCTGGGTTGATGTGCGTGTGAGTTTCTGCATATTCGTATATATGAGTATGTGTTAAAGACCCCGCTATACGCTATACACTAAGTTTACTGAATGTATACTTCCTCTAAGCAGCCATGAGATTTGAATAAAACTAGTTTTTACGGATTTTACCGCGTATGTTAACTTAGATTAAAATTATTAATTTTTGTTCTTGTTACAAAAATTAATAATTTTCATCTTGAGATAGCCGAGGTTAACTATGACATTGGGACCTCAAACGGCTCAGTCCCCCCGTGACCATAGGTGGCGTAAAGTGCTCGAAACGTCGGGAATATAAAATAAGTTAGTATACGCGATAAAATCCGTAAAAACTAGTTTTATTCAAATGTGCGGTGTTCGCGTAAATATAAGAAACCAATATGTCAGCCACGAGATATTTAAGCTGACAGTTCTCGCTTTAAACTACGGTTATAAGGTGGCCCTGCTCACTTCAATTATATAAACATCATTTGCTCTTATATGTTCACCATAGTAAGAACGTGCCTGCATGAACCCACGACTTTATCTGCCACCAGAGCGGCGTCACTTGGAATGTGGTGAAATATTTGACAGATTTCTTAGTGGGATTAAGGTCATCAAGGGGGTAAAGGGTCAGGTTAATTTGTTAGAAAAATGTAAGGGATAATGAATGTATTTCTATAATATGTATTTTACGTGGTAGAGACATGCTGCAGCAATCTCACTGGTATAGTTGTAGCACGAACGTGTCGGCACAACCGGGGAAGGACCACGCTCTCACAGAATACCAGCGTAAAATAGCAGCTTAACGCTGCTGTGTTTAGTATGGTGTGTGTAGAGAACTGGAGAACCTTTTTACTGGTAACCAGGCATTCCATGTTAGTCCTCACGGACGACAGTGCATCTGAATTAATTAATGAATAAACAAGCACACAGATATTACTAAAAGTAGAAATATAAAAAGAGTTAAAAATGTGCAAAAAATCAAAAAGCAAACCACTGAAGCATTGTTTTGTGTTAAAGTTACAGCATATATACGTCCCACTGCTGGGCACAGGCCGCCTCTCATTTCTAAGAGGGTTGGCGAACTTCAAGTGTCTTCGAAATATTTTTTTTCTTATTTCTCAGACATGCAGGTTTCCTCACGATGTTTGCCTTCACCGCCGAACACGTGGTAAATCAGCACTTAAAATTGCAATTAACAATTTTTCGTGCCGGCGGGGATCGAACCCGGGTTGCTCGAGTACTGTGAAGCTTACAGCGAGCGCTAACCATCTGAGCTGCCACGGCTCGGCCAAATTAATATAAGTTCAGATTTAATGCTAACGAAAAATCACCAGTTTCTAATTCAGCTCAAGTGTAGTGAGTCATTTATTGGTCTCGTTACTTGCGACTGGAAGTTATTACGTCAAATAGCTCACACCTACGTGGATGTGTTCACGCATTAGACGACAGGGTGTTATTTGCATATCGAGATGAATAACCTTTTTTAAAAATGTTGTCTACTTATATGTCTGCCCGGAGCAATCCTTGGAAAGGCTGAAATGATTGTCATGAAACATCACAAACAGTTAAAGAACAATATGACGAGTGATGCAGCCAATTTCTTTTAAAGTTTATATAAATATATTAATTTGTCGTAATTCATGGTGCGAAATTTACGAAGTTAAATTTATAAGCACCACATTTTTAAGTAATGATGTAGCTCTAAGTCAAAATATTGTATTAATTTCGGTTATGATACTAGGTAGGAGCTATATTGTGAAGAAAAGGAAATCTGAAGTTATTGCTTTTTCCTGCGGTTCTTTTTGCTCGTCGTATTATAGAAACGTAAAAATAATAAAATATATTTCAGCAGTAAAAAATAACCAAAGAAGCAACTTGATGCTAGAATTCCTTTATTGCAAAACTAATATTTTTCGAAAGATATCTTCCATTTCCGCGGTTCAATTTTCAGGATCGATTGCAGCTCGGGCGTCTGATTATACCGCGCCATCTGAAATAGAAAAAGTAGTAAATTATAATTTTGTTACAGTTTAATGGCTAGACTTCCTCATCAAAGCCAATATCGGCGTATTGGCGTAATCCAACGCCTAATGTCAACTTCAACCGTGTAGTGCTGGTGTAATAATACCCAAAACCCCATATCGTCCCGTGGGTATCGTAAGAAGTGACAGAAGCAAACTAAATTAGGAGATAACCAGCGACATCTTGCGGATAACTACTCAAAATATTTAAAAAAAAAAACTGCGGTTTTCAACCCGCCTGCCAAGCGTAGCAACTATGGTAAAATTCCTCACAGGTGGATAATCTATGGGGAAGACCTATTTTCAGCAGACGTCTTTTATAGCTTCTAATGGAAATGTCACCTAGTTACGGAAGAATATTCAAAAATTTCAAAACAATATTTTACAGACGTTGTTTTTTTATATATATAGGATAAGGATGACAGACGAGCACGCAGTCCACCTGATGGTAAGTGGTTGCTGTGGCCCATAGGCATCTCCATCTATACTCGATTACGAATCAAAATGCAGATGCGTTGTCACCCATGAGGACTAAGATGGAATGCCTCTTTTCCAGTAAAAATGGTCTGCGGTTCTCTATACTCATCATACGAAACACAGCAGTGTTAAGCTGCTATTTTACGCTGGTATTCTGTGAGAACGTGGTCCTTCCCCGGTCGAGTGGACCCATTAGTCCTACGACTATAACAGTAATATAGATGCAGCATGGCTCTACCACGTAAAAAACCTTGTTACCGTAACCTGAGTGAGATTAAAAGATCCTAAGATAGAATCGCCTCCTTTACGTCGTGGAACCTTTTGCAGTTACATTATGGTTTGGATACAACCACGCTCTTACAGAATACCAGCGTAAAATAACACCTTAATGCTGCTGTGTTTCGTATAGTGAGTGTAATGAACCGGAGACCCTTTTTATATGAAATGATCATTTTATTTTAATCCTCAGGGTGTTGTCACGCATCTGCATTTTGATCCGTAATCGAGGATAGATTTCGAAGTCTACGGGCCACAGCATATGGGTCTTACCATCAGGTGGACTGTGTGTTTGTTTGTCACCATTATTACATAAAAAATTGCTTCAATCGTTGTAGTCGTTTGGAATATTTGACGCACCCGATGGTAAGTGGCTACTGCAGTCCATGGACACTTGCAGCCAATTTCAAACAACGAAGGATACAGGATATACATCACTATTTTAAATACATTTTTGTATATATGTATATTATACTTGTACATAAACATCATTCGTAAATTTATTTCTTTGAACATTTTCAATAAGTCATTCGGATATAAGAGTTACCTGGCTGGTAAACACGTTAATCTAGAAAATTACTTTTAAAAAATATGCCTTTAGGATCTTTAGTATTAACACGTTTTAGTAAAAAAGCTTTGAACTCACAAAAGACCGGCAACGTACCTATAATTCTTATGGTGTTGCAGTTGTTCATAGGCGGCGTTTGTCGCTTACCATCAGGCAAGCCGTATGCACGAAAACGATTGAGTCCTTTTCAATAAAAAAAAAAGACCGGAACAACATTCAAGCAATGACAGTTCAATAGAGATTTCTACCAAACATGTTATTGTGTCTAATCTTAAATTATTAACAGGAATCGAACTGCAACTTAAGACAGGGCGACAGCAACCGAACATCGTCATCTGAGCTCGCCTGTCGAATACGTAACGAGTGGTGGAAAGTCGCTCGATTGTTACGAGAGCTCGCTTACTATGCACCGCCGCAGCCGCCGCCAGATGTCCCGACGACGCCTCCCGCCATTACTGAGCGTACATTGTACGCTACCGTGACGAATTATTTTACTATTTTGGAATTCGAAGTGGCACGCTCTTGATTTGTACTTCCAACCATATAGAGTCGTTTTGGTCAAGAGTATAGTCCTCCAATAGCTGTGCTTGCACTGCTGTGGTTCATCTGAACGATGTAGAGGGCCAGCATGATTAGAGGCTGTGAGGTATTCTATATTTGACTTCCGATGTGACCACGCAGCATTCTTTGTTTTATTTTACCTACATCTGTTGACTGTAAGTCCGTTTGTAACTTCAGTTAAAATAATTCAGAGCAGAATCAAGTCTGTAATCTCCGAACATGTAAGCAAGTCCAAAGAGCAACAAGATACTCGGATCAGGTTTTGACAATAATATGGATTTAGATGGAACATTGTGAAAGACTAAGGAATTAAAAGTTTAGAAAGAATGTATAATCAAGTACTCTATTACTTGATGCCATTTTATACATGATAAAGTTACATTGCAGCACGAATGAATCAGCTCGACTGGGGAAGGACCATGTTCTTTTACAAAATTCCAGCAGGAAATAGTAATATACCGCCATTTTTAATATGTATAAGAAGTATTAGAAGTGATGATAGAAATAATGAAAAAAAAAAGTTTATTTTGTACCACATTACCAGAATTTTCTTAAAATAAAATCACATTATAAATTTAAGAAATAGTTAGTTAAAAGGCTTCCACTCCAGCACAGTCTTGGATTGTCAGAGCACTTCGACGCTGATCCTTAGTGGGCATCATAAAGTATTTACAAAAGAACAAAAATAAACCTAACCGTATTTAATATTATACAAATTATATATATGAAGATATATATCTGGTAGAGCCACTCTGCAATTATTTCGTCGGCTCAACCGTGGTAGGACCATGCTCTCACAGAATACCAGCTTAATGCTACTGTGTTTCGTGTGGTGAGTGTAGAGAACCGGATACCCTTTTTAATGGAAACGAGGCATTCCATCTTAGTCCTCGGGGGTGACAGCGCATTGCAGTTTGATTCTTAATTGTGCATAAATGTAGATGTCTATGGGCCACAGCATCCACTTACCATTAGGTGGAATGTGTGCTCGTTTGTCACTCTATAAAAACATGTAAATATATTTGTCGCAACATATTATATACACAAAGACAATAGCGTCGATAGTACCTATTATTTTTAAATTATAAAGATAATAGTTTAAAAAGACTTTTACTGTAAAGTATTTATAGAAAAATATCCAAATATGAACAGGGAGCAAAACAAGCGGGCGGTTATCTCGCAGCCTACTTACGTGCCGAACTGTTGTGTCGATTGCGCTATCTTCTGATATTTGCTGATATTGTCTCTTTAACCCAAATCCGTTACCCTCCTACCTACTCCCCTCCCACTGTTATTGAAGATTATAAAAAAGGGACAGTGATGCGATTGTTGCGAAAGCAATACTTTGAAATTGTTATAAGAGCGTCCTTCAAATAGTTGGAAATTCGGGTAGTACGAGTTGTTTCCTCAAGTAGATCAGGGAATAAGTAATGTAAGGATTAAAATTTGTGGCGTCAATGTCAAAAATGCCACCGACCCATTTTGGCAAGTGTCCTAAAAATATAAAATCGGTATAAAGAGATCGGTTGAATGAGTAGTAAAATAAAAAATAGAAAACATATTAAGAATTATTTCTAATCCTCTATTTTGAATATAAATTTATCTTTTGTAAGTTTGTTTGTCCCTGAGCCTCTCCTAAACGGTTTGACCGTTTTAGATGAAATTTTTATGGGGAACTTTCAGAAATCGCTTGTGCGAAGTCGTGGCGGATCGCTAGTATTGAATAAAAATTATTCTAATATGTTACATAGCATTTGTATATTATTTAAAGTTACTAAAAATATAGTGTAATTTTTTTATAACTATCCCTACCCTTGGCAAGTGTCTAGATTATGTTTCTTTTTAGATTTTTCAGTGCTAGAGTTTTCGTTATATATTAATCAATATTATACAGTAAGATTAATTTTTGTAAGATATTACTGTCATTCTTTCTTTTCTTTCTTTAAAAAAAAAAACGTTACCCCCACACTAGGATTTTCTCCTGTGTCATGGAGGCAGTTTACAAACATAAATTGCACGAGGACAAACGTCCAGACCCGGAACAATTATTTGTAGGCCATACAAATACTTGTTCCGTGTGGGATTCGAACCCACGGCCCCCAGCGGAACAACTGATTGCTAAGCCACTGCGCCACGGAACCGTCAATAGCCTGTCATCATTTGATAGTTAAATGTTGAGCTAACTTCTGAGCTCCTTTCTCGAAATGCCTACCCTATAAAACTTTCGAATCGAGGATAGGTGTAGGTGCCTATAGGTTACATCATTACTTACCATTAGGTGGACTGTGTCGCTTGCCAACCGTACTCTATAAAAAAAATGTCAAAGGAGTGAGACGCTTGTTAGTGTGCTCACTTATCCTTCTGCTTAGATAACTAACGAAAATAATTCTAGTATGGGACAGATCCAAGTCCAGGAGTAGGCCATTTACTCATTGATGTATTGATTGTATTTATCATCAACACCATATAATCAGTCACCATTTTCTAACTTTATCATCCATTTATATGAATTAGGGCCACTAAGAGTTTCAATATTAAACAATATTGGCATGCTACATTTAAAAAAGCAAAACATATGTGTAGAATAAACTACAAAACTAACACATTTGTATATTTACCATGTTTTATGCAAATATAAATTATTATTATTATTTCTTAAGTCTCGCCTCAATTTACTCGCGTTTCGCTCACGCGTTTTTTTACGACCTCTTTAGCTTTCGATACGTTAACTTTGAAGCTGCTATCTCAAATTATCTAAACTCTTGACTAAACCAAACTGGACACCACTAACCTACATCCTGGAGCGACAGTAATCACGACCTTATTCTGGATGCGACAAAAGAGCCGCGCGTGTCGGGCATCACAATGACAAGGTCGACGCTCCGGGGGCGACGGACTGGCGATCAACCCCAGCTTTTCTGCAATTCCTAACACAAGACAATGCTTACCTTAAAAGGCATTGCTGCGACTGAACCCTCAATGGCAGAGCCTAATTTCTAGTAGTTGTATTGCACAGCAGTTAAGCTTATTAATGATTTAGTATTATTGATTTCTTATGTTTACGAGAACACTACAAATTTAAAATTT